TGCTCGGCGAGAGGTTTTCGTTTATAAAATTTTGTTGTTGTTCTCGACTTGATTTTTATTTTTATTACCTCGTCTCCATAGTTACTATTTGCAAATAGTCAATGATATTGTAGGTCCATTTTATTGTTGTACTTTCTACGAGCCATTATAACACATTTTCATCTCATCATTTAATTTCTGTTGTGCATATATTGTTGTATAGAAGATATTTTAAAGTGATACATCAGGTGGAAAACGAATATATAGATGGATAAATCTATATGTGGCGCTAGCTAGTGTACCTAAATTCATCGAGAAATTTTATAAAAGTTATCCGAAAAACGGGGCTAACTCGGTAACCCGTGGCCCGATTTTAACGAAGCTTGTTTTATTCTGTTTCTATTCTCATTTCATTACAAATGTGGCGCTATTGTGTGCTGTTTTTGCTGTATTTAATTACAGACAAGCAAACAAACAATCTCAGAGTCTTAGTAGTATATAGATATATGGCGTCTACACTACTAGTGTGTGTGTGTCGTACGTCAGCCGATCTAATGACCCCTGGCACTGAGCGAAAGACGTCGTCGATACTTGATGTAATAGATGTAGTGTGGTTAAGCATATTATTCTTTACTTTCATTCATAGGTTATTAGAATAAATAACAAAATACTCATTTTCGATATTGAAATTACTATCACATTTAACGTTTAATCAAATCCAAAGCGACAATTCTTACGCCTTTTAACAAAAATTCTGATATGTAATGAAACCTTGAAATATTTCTTACACTTCACTTTAATGAAACTAATGTCTTCTGAAATTTATTTTGACGTTATTTCGCATCATTTAACTTGGCACAGTGTGTGAAGTCCCTTGAAAGCTAAAACAGTGATCTCTACGACAAAGTCAAATAATTTTTGTGTTTGTTAATTTTTTATTCCAAGAATTAGTAACCACAAAACTAGGAAGAGGGGCGATAATTTGGTATTCGTTAAGTTAATGGATCAACTTAATTGGCTGATTTCATGAAACGATACGTACTAATGTGTACAGGACCATAAGTCGTGTTACTGGCCTTAACCAGTCTGTATTTCAACATTTTTTTTCTGTGTACATCGTACGAGAATATCTTGTCACGTAAATAACTGGAATGCGTGTAATTTTTTTCTTATTGGTTACAAAACAGGTTCTAGAATAGATTTCAGAAGTTAATGTGGTTTTTAGTGAGTGAAATTTAATTTTATATCACTTTGAAAGAATAAGAAATGTTATGCGATCCAAAACAGACTTATGTCACAATGTGTTGAAATTATACTGCAGTTATTGAGAAAGCTTAAAGCCTTTTGATGACGGTAGCGCGTATTAGTCACGTATACTACTAGTATTAGAAAATTTCGCGTAACTTAAAAGTTTGTGACGTATTCAGTATTCCTCAAATCAAGTTAGGCTTCGAAGTGGACATATTGTGAGCAGCAGAGGTAATAAAATTTTAATATTTGATGTTGCATGTTTAATATGATGATAAACTATAAGGACTATCTCGGGGATTTTCACCATTTTAAAGTTGAGAGAAACATAACTATACGCCTGTTAATTAAAACGTTGAAAACATTCACTGTGGACAATCCCCCAATTAATTTTTACGCACATACATACAGGTATATAGAACTTGATTGTAAAGCTGTTCGTGTGCTAAACATTTTATAATTTATTCGAGATTGTTTTGTTTCCATTGATTTAAAATAAAGAGCAACGATGTGTGTTAAAAACCCACAATATCGGAACAATACCAAATTTATACGGATACAAATTTTGACACTTTCGCTTATTTATGTAAATTTGGTATTATCCCGTTATTGTGATTTTAAACTTTATTTTAGATTACCTATACACCGTATTGTATATTTACCTACTAATACTATTATTATTAGAAAAGTGCTCCAGAATCTCAGTATTCTGTTTTAATTTTCAAATATTTAATTTCTTTGAAAAAACGACAGTTTTATATTCGAAATTAAAATCGTAAACATCAGTTTTGTTTTCCATAATTCTAACTGGAAATTCTAACATTAATTAACCCTAATGGTTTGTTCTTCCACCACGCTCAGTGTAAGTACAGCTGCAACTACAATACACTGTACAGTATCAATCTTTATTATATATAGTTATATGTTATAGTTAGCATATGTTTTACTGTTCAACTAAATTACTGGCTTAAAAATAAGTTATACGAGGTCACATTGTATAACATTTTCTAAGTGTTATGCCCTTTGTTTTAAAACAAATGATACGTGACTTGAGTGAGAAGTAGTACGAAAAGTTTATCGTGTAATCCAGGTACACGTGTCAATCGACTAGTTTCGTAACACAAACAGTAGGCCTAAGGTTGTAAGGTGGTTATTATATTATTATTAACTAATTAAGATGATTTATGATTTATAGTGGTTCTGCTGCTATTTGTATTATCTAACCTGGAATATTTACTTAATTGTGCGATATCAGAGATAAGAAGGAAAACGAAATTACGTGAAATAGCTTTTTTTGTTGTTTCGCTTGTTTATAAACTTAGCAGTTTCTTCATCATTCATGGTTATGGTGACTATTGGGTTACAAATAGTATTAAACTTAAATTAAGACCCAAAACTCGAGCGCTTTCGAATAGTTGACTATTCTTCAGGAGAACAAAGAAGAATAGTCAACTATTCGAAAAACGTTTATTACATTTAATGTGTGATCCTTCGTGCTAACTCTTTTATCAAGAAGGGTTACAAATAGTATTAGTAATACCTAGTTTGCTACTCATCATGTGAAATGACTGTTTTATATCTTGATAATTTTCTATGAGTAAGTAATACTACTAAAATATTTTCTTGGCCAATAAAATAGTCTTGTCTCTGGACTGTAGACTAACAGTAACAGTGCTATCAATATAATATAAGAACAACAATAGGCCTGTTGGTCCATCTAGGCTATTCCATCCACTAAACTCAGAGCCATCCCTTATCATTCAAATATTTATCAAGCTATTTCAACTACTACATACAAAGGCCAGTCACCCTGTTATTCAATCCTTTGGTAAAGCAGCAACATCCTCACTGCCAAAAACACCCAATTCCTTAATATCATTAGCAAATTTACAATTTTTTGACCATTGTCTCATTTGTGTTGTTGATGTAATCAAAAAGATCGAAGGTCCAAACATTAAAACCTGAGAAGACTAGAACTTGGTGACTTAATTGATATAAGCAGTAATTACTTTGATTAGTGTCATGTAAACTGATTGAATGGAAATTAAAAATAAATCAATTACTTAAAATCCGTGTTTCTGATTATTACTGTTATTCTAAAAGTCGATTTACTGAAATTCTGATTATATTGATTGTCACAAAAATAATCAAGTTATCAAAATTACGATTCAACCAGTTGTCACGAAAATAATCTTCTAATTAAAATTAAGGTTTCTGATTATCACTGTTTTCAGTTGTTCCAACTATACAAGTAATCGAAATATTATCACAAACTTGCTCAGCCTTTCTTTGTTACGATAAAACAACTAATACTACATGTTATGCTGCTAATGTTGAACTGCTGAATAAGAGGAAGGTAACATGTTGCCAACTGTTGTTTTATATATATATATATATATATGTTTGTGTGTAATTTATTGGAAAGCAACTGGTTGGCAGCACTTGCAGACCACTTTTTTCTTTTACATAACCATTTTTGGAGGAGCATGGTACTACTCGGTTAATGTGGCCTTTGGTTAATTGATTAGCAAGTACCACTAATCGTACAGCTCTACTTGTGACGTTAATCCAGTTTGACTGAACTTCATTTATAACAGCCCTCTGCTTTCTTCCAGTCAGCCACTTATCTATCCAATCTTATCTATACGTCTATAGAGAGAAATGTTTTTAACAAGCCTTTTATGTGGCACGTCGTCAAGTGTGTTCTAAAATCCACACCCTTACCTCCTCAAAGAATGTGAATAGATTAGTATTGCATGTCAGAATTGCTACAGACTTCCACCAGTTTCATCTGAAGCCTTTCTGCTTTATGATGAATAGTATATTTTTACTAGAGACAAGATGTTCATAATCGTCTGATTAATGTAGAAAATCTATCCATACGTATGTGATATGATAGTCTAGTTTGATACATTTGACAGAAAATTACGTAGTTGTTTGTATATTACAAAAATTTGGACCACACACTAATTTTTGCATTTCAGATTAAACGATTAGAAAAGTCTGGCATTTCAAAAATGGCAGATGGAGTCGAAGGTATGAAACATAGAAGTTTTGATGGATCATCAAAAAATGGAGATGTTTCTATATCTGGTCAGTTGCAAAAAAAAATGTATCAAGTCCGTTCTAGAGAAGCTGAACTAAAGGAGAGGGAAAACATTGTTTTATGGAAAAAACCTATAGTCACTCTACAGTATTTTATTACCGAATTATTTATTGACCTTCGAAATTATGGAGTGAAGTAAGTAACTTTATGGCTGTATTACTTGTTGTAGATCTTGTTCATAGAATTATGAAAACTTGCTTTAAGTATCAGAAGTTAAAACATAACTGGTTTTGTTTAAGTAATAAAAAAAGTGTCATCTGATTAGACTCTGGGTTTTTGCATTACTGTATTTTTCTGTGTATAAGATGCACTTTTTTACCCCAAAATTTGATGTCAAAATCTGCTTGCATCCTATACACTGAAGGTGTGAATAATATATATGTATATACACGATATATACAA